TTTTTAATTGTGAGAAAACAAACATGTAAATACAGGGATTGTTGATTTCATAATTCAAGATGTAATAAATTCAACAAGGTCTTGACCTATATGTAGAGTGTGCCTTGACATAATGCAAATTAAGATTTGGTGCTATACAAATAAAATTGAATGGAACAACAGCTTATTCAATATGTCAACATTATCTTCATCTATCTATTTATCCATCCATCTATCTGTCTATCTATCTGTCTATCTATCTACTGTATTTCTTTAAACTATAGGCTAAATTAGAAGCATCATTTACCATATATTATTTTATGGTAATAGTATATTCACATTCAAAGAAGATTGTTACACTTTTGTCAATTTGTTGTGTAATTAACTTTGACATTTTCATATAAAGTTCCCATTTACAAAAACAATACTTACATGATCTTAACCTGAGCTTAAATTTGTCTAAAAATATAGGACTCACCACCACAGGAGCAATAACATACAATCAACGTATGATCAATAAAAGGTTGTCAGTTATGGAAAACCTCACCAGCTGCATTAAAGACAATTAAAATGTAAAGTTTTAAATACACAAGTTGAACAGCAACCTAAATAATCAGTGTCATAACTGAGGATCTTTTAAGTGGATTTAAATTGTTACATATACAGTATATTTATGCCAACATACTATACTAGAAAATGTTTTTGTGATTAATATCTTCCTTGGGTTTTATACCCTCAACACCAGGAAACGAAAGCTTTATATGTTTTGCGGGTGCATCCCCCCCGACCATTAATAACAAAGGCACCTTCTACGATTTACTAAGACATTTTAACAGCTTTCACAAGTTGCATCCTGATTAGGAAAGTGAGACATATGTGGGTGAATGTGACTTTGTTTAGCCTGTGGGAATATCACAGTAAAAGCTAATGAAGGTGAATGAGCGAGGGTGGGGGAGGTGTGAAAGGCCTCACGTGTCTTCTTCATGTGAGGCGCTCACAGGTGGGCACGTTCAAAACCTGGTGACAGGTGTCTGTAAATATATCTGACGTTTGCAGTTAGTGATACAATTCTATTTTTTAGGTTTTGGAGTCTTATTCCAAACTGGACTCTGCTGATACATGCCTCTGTGTTAACAATTATTTATTTTATTTTCAAATTGCCTTAATGTGCAAATACACAAGCAGCACTCTGGCATCAGGGAGTTTGATGGGGCCTGCCTCATCACCGCTGAAGCGCGTCAAACTCCAATCCCCTTTCTTTCCCTCTGAATCTGGAAAGTTAATTTGTTGTATTCAGCTCTTTTCCCCGTAAGGGTTTTAATTTACAAATGCAATTATATGTCTAATCCATGATTCAGCTGCTGAGGTCCACTGAGTGCATTTCCTTGTAATTATGCATAAGCCTGGTCTATCCACTTGTAATTACTTTGACATGCCCCACCCCCTGTCCACTTTACCTTTTCTTACGTAAGATAATGTGGTCACCTTTATGCAGAAACATAAAGATTTTGATTGTGTTTTTGTAGGCTTGACACATTATTGCAACTTTGACCTTATGCACTCTATGTATTTGCACTTCATGCCTTTGAGCATCACTGCAGGGACACAATGAGGAAAATGCTCTCCTCATGCCTGCACTGTTTGTCATGTTTTTACTGTCAAATTTAGTCATTAAAAAGCATTTGGTTTTGCAACCATGTAAATCAACCTCATTATTAACCATATGTAATTTATAGAAGGATGACATACACAAAAATATACATTATGCTCTTTTACTAGTTTGACTTTTGCTATCAAGTTCATTATTGTGTAGCATCATCCAGTGGAAGCATTGTGGATGCAAGCGAGGGTAAAAGTCACACCCTTTTTCCTTTCTGTGACGTCAGTTGCCACAAACCTTTGACCTTCCTCGGTAGCCTCAGCTGTACACACAGTCCACTGTCAGCCTCTTCTCACAGCATCTCTTTGTGTGTGTGTCTGTATGTGTGTACATGTGCGTTTGTGTAATGTAAAGATGATCCTGTCCTCTCTTTAAGTTTGAACTTGGAGGGCCTGGGCTCTGGTGTTGGTGTTGACAGCTCTGATCACACTGTTACCCACCTTTCCTCTTGTTCATGTGTCTTTGTTAGAAACAGTTTCTGTTAACAAATGATTTTAGCCTCCACACATCCTGTAAATCCAAACACTCAAACCTATCTTTGTGAGGAGAGAAACATGGCTGAGTGGCAGTTTGCATGGTGAGGATGGGACATGAATTTGTGAAATGGAAACATCAGAAAGAATCTTTAGTAACATGCACCGCAACAAGTTTGACATTTTTTGCAGACCTCTAATAAACAATCGCTCAAACTATCCTCAGTGCTGCTTTCCCAGGCTGCTGGGTCGGTTACAGCTGGAATAACAGTTTGTGGTTTGGACTCCTGTTTCTCCCAGTCACGCCATTATCTCTGGCTGCCTCATGCACAAACACAGCACAGACCCACCACAGGCTGGCAATACACAGATTTTATATATAAGGAATGAGCTTCATCCAAGACATGACTGTGTATTTCTGTATTCTTCCAGTCCATACAAAAAAACACCCTCATTTATTGAATATCCCTAATGCACTGCAGGTGTTGTAGATGAAAATGTCAGGTTTGCAAAATATATAAATAATATTATTGTGACCCGGTCATATTTCAGTGTAGACAGATGACTGTCGGCAAGAGTGTATTTTAAAAAGGATATTACAGAAAACGTAATTATAACGTTTGTCCTGACGGATCAACAAACAGCCAGGCTGTAAAACTTTATGACAGGTTTTATGAAACCTCTTCAATCAGGCCTCTCATAGGACACAAAATGTTTATACTGCACCTGTGTAGCCTGGTGATGTACATGACATTAACCTGTGATGAATGCATTCATGAACATCTTCGTTCAGCCAAACACACTTGAATCAAGAGAGTCTGCATGTCCAGTGATGGCTTTGTGGATGATATATGTCAGTTTTTGCATTAAAGGAATTTCAAAGAATTAGTTGAATCAGTTCACTGTCAGAAAAATAGGCCACAAATGTGCAGATGAAGACTTTTTTCTTAGAAACTATTTCTTTGCAGGCCCATTACTTTCATCCAGATTTTGCCATTGCTATTTATCAGTGTAAAATATGTTAAGACAGGTAAGAACAGAAGATTGAAGCTGCCTCATGTTATCAACATTGAATGATGTGTTTACCCAGTCTCATCCCCTCGAAACAACACCTGCCTCTTCACTCTGCCATCATGCAAACGGGAACTGACAGGTGGGGTAATAACTCAGCCTTCTTTGCAATGAGCACTCACCGATTCCCACATTACCACAACATATGAATGCCCAAAAATCGGCATCACATATTTATATTCTTAACTCACCTAATTGCTTGACCAGATGTTTAAATATTACAAGTAGGAAATAAATGGTGCAGCAGCTACATCAGTCTTTATATGTATTATATATCATCTTAAACCCTTAAACCCTTGTGTACAAAAATGATTTAAATTCTGTTTATCTAAAAAAGCATATCTGAAAAAATAG